CAGCGGGCCTGAGGATGGCTCCAATTAACCACCACAAAGCCACAGTGGAGCTCTGTGGCTCAAGTAATAGCCAGTCTTGAGCAAAATGTTTAGGGACAGGGACAGGCACTGGGTGCTCAAAACTGTCGTCCTAGCAACTCAGGAGGCTGAGATCTGAGGATCGCAATTCAAAGCCAGCCCGTGCAGGCAAGGCCATGCGACTCTTATTTCCAGTAAACCAGCAGAAATCCAGAAGTGGAGCTGTGGCTCAATGTAGTAGAGCTCTGGACATGAGCACAAAGCTCAAGGACAGTGCCCAAGACCGGTTCAAGCCCCGGAATTGGTGGAAAGAAAAGAAAAGCCAGGCTCCTTTGGAGGAATCTGGCTCAGAATGCCTCCTGGACAGGAAGGGAGGGCGGCGGAAGGGTGTGCTGCCCCCCAAGCCAGGCGGGCCCACCTTCCAGCTGCCCCTTGGGAATCCCTTCCCTGCTCAAAGCTAGGCTCGGTCGCTGGGCCTTACTCATGGGGGCCAGGCCTGCCTTCCTCGAGCCCCCCTAGAGCTCTGCCTTCAGGCTGCACCCCAGTGACCCCATCCCCAGGCGGCCTGGCCCTCGGGGATGGACCTGGAGCCATGTGGCACTGGGGGCTCCAAACCGGGGGTCCCCGCTGCGGGCTCCAAGCTCACCCGGGACCCCGAGGCAGAGCCCCGCGCTGTGGGCTCCCCCGCCCCCGACACGCGCCCCCGACGACCCCCCGATGGCGCCCACCCCCCAGGACCCTTCTCTTCTGTCCGCGAGGGGCCCCAGAGCACCCTCGGGGCCCCAGCGTTTTCGGGGGACCCGGCTCCCTGCAGGGCTCCAGGCCCCTAGCGTCCCCCGGAGGCTTGCATGACCTCCTCCCTCCCGCCCCCCGCGTACCCCGCACCCCCGCACCCTCTCCCCGACCCGCGGCCCCTCGGGGCCCACCGTGCCGCTCACCATCTCGCCGCCCGGGCACCCAGAACCATGCTGCAGCAGCTCGGCCAATCAGAGCCCGACGCTTACCTGACGAGCAGTCCGTGAGACCAATCAGCAGTCTCAGAACCAGCAAATCGCGAGGGACAAGGGGTTGCGCGCGTTGCATGCCGGAAGTTGTAGTTTCGACACTCCGGTGAGCCCCGCCCTCCTCCCACCCCGCTTCCAGCCCCAGGCTCTGGGGCCTGCGCGTGGGTCCCACGGCTGTTTCAGCCTCACGACTGCGGGACCCCCACTGACCAAACACAGAAATCTCAGACTGACTGAATTCACACGTTTGATTTCCACCTGCCACCCAATTTGTACAGGCCACACAGCCCATCTTATTATTAATGAAAAAGAGAAAAATGTGTGGCTCATAATGGAAGTATCGGCTTCCGGTGGGGCTGGATCCAAGGTCACACGAGAGCCTGGAGGCGCTGAGGGTCTGTTTCACCCAGGGAGGGGAGGGCTCCGAGGGGCTGCGTCTTCCAATCCTGTTTCTACCAGGGACTGGGTCCACCTGAGGGCGCACATGGCTGTGGTGCGGGTACCCCGAGGCTGCCTGGGGGTCGATGGCTGGGGGCGTGGGGTCCACGGTTAGTAGTGGGTAACTGTCTCTGTCTCTGAGAACCTGAGGAAGTCTGCTGCAAGCAGGCTCACTGGGACATTGGTCCCTTCCCAGCACGCAAGGCCTCTTCCTGGGTGGCCAGCGTAGCCTCTGCTGCTTTTCAGCTGGTCTTGGTTGCAGGGGTTTGAACTCCGGGTCACGCTGCTCTGTGTGTGTGTGTGTGTATACCAGTCCTGGGACTTGAACCTGAGCTATTGTACTCAAGGCTAGCACTTTACCCCTTGGAGAAAAATGTCTCACAGACATCCCTGAGACTTCCCTACCAGAGCTGGCTTTGAACCAGGATCCTCAGATGTCAGTGTCTTGAGAAGCTGGGATGACAGGTGTGAGCCACCAGTGCCTGACTGAGGCTCCACCTCTGCATAGGGTCACAAGCTGGGATGTACGCATCCCCGCTCACCCCTCCGGCGAGCACTGAGATGTGAGTCAGCGCCAGGTTCCCATCCGCAGCAAGCGAGGCCTGCAGTGCCATCACCCCCTGGACCAGAGGCCAGGCCAGGCCACGTCACTCCAGCAGGTGCCGGCCCCCCTCTCTCCGAGTGACTAAACTCCTGTGAGATCTGAAGCCCCTCTTCTGGTGCACTGAGGCACGGTGGATCCTGGTTCTCAGGTCTGCCTACCGTCAAACTTTCCTCCTGCCCAAGGAGACCAGGAATTCACAGCCCCGTGCCCCCTGGTATCCGGTGCTGGGGGGGGGATCCGAAGGCAGCTCCCCAGGGGATAGGGGTGAAGCGCCATGCACAGCCGACCAATAAACTGCAGCTTATTGTGTGTTTAAGCTGGGGTCTTCATGTATCATCCAGGATGGCCTCAAGTTCCTGGGTTCAAGAGATGCCCCCCACCCACCCGCCTCAGCTTCCCAGGTGGCCGGGGTCCCCGTTGGGGTGGGGTGGTCCCCAGATGGGCTGCACACACCATGCGCCCTAGTACCGACCCCGGGCTTCCCACTGTGCGGGATCTCTCTTCTCTCCGGTGCCCACGGGGAAGGGGCCTGTGGCTCCCCTCGGTGCCCAGTACAGAGCAGACCCCCCCCATCCCTGCCCCAAGGAGCTCAGGCTGGGGTTGGTGGGGTTGTTGAGCGGCCTGGACCTCCGGCCCGGGCCTCCACGCCGGCTCAGGGCGGCCACTGTAGGAGTGGGCAGCGGTGGGGCGGTGGGGTACACACCCCTCACCTTGGCTCCTGGGAAGCAGAAGTCTGGAGCGGGCAGGGAGCTCAAGACCACCCAAGGCAGGTTAGCCGGGCCTCCACGGGGCAGGGCCTCCCCCTCCCCCTGCCGAGCAAGCTGGAGGCCCACGGTTCGAATCCCAGTACCAGAGAAGCGCGAGTCCCTCATGGGGGAGAGCGCAGGAGGAGGGGGATCAGAGATCAGATCTTCAGTGACCTATGGGGTCCCACCGAGGCCGGAGGGCTGTGAGGTCTGAGGGTGGGGGTGATGGATCTGGACACCCCCACGCCTGGGCAGCGAGCAGCGGCTGCTGGGGGGCCGGGGGTCCCTGGAGCCCGGCCCCCCGCACCGACCAACCGCTGGGGGCCCCTGCGTCTCGCTACAGGGACCCCTCCTGGCTCCAGCTTCCCTAGGGGAGCCCCAAAGCAAAGCACCCACAATAAGGCCTCGGAGGGGGGATGAGGGCTCTGGGGGGTCCTCCGGGGAGCAGGAGGGGCCCAGGGGGGAGGGGTGCGGGCCGGGCCGGGGCGGGGGCGGGCGGGGCGGCGCCCCCGCCGCGCTTCCAGAGCGGAGAGGCCCGGTCGGCGGCACCCCGCTGTTATGGGGTCCCGGGGGGGGGCCCCCCGCGCCCCGCGTCTCGGCCCCTACCGCGGCCAGGCGGCGGGCAGACGGCGCGCGGGCGGCGCGGGCAGCAGCAGCGGGAACGGGAAAGGCCGCGGGAAGTCCCCGGGGGCCCCGGGCGCCGGCGACAGCCGCTCGGACTTGACGCTGACCGCGGGGCTGGCGGCGGAGCCGCGCGGCGGGGCGCCGTCCTCGCCCGGGCCGCGGCCCCCGCTGCGGGGCGGAGAGAAGGGGGCGCCGTGAGCGCACGCGGGGAGCCCCGGCCCGGGACCCGGCCCCGCCCCCGGGACCCGGCCCCGCCCCCGGGACCCGGCCCCGCCCCCGGGACCCGGCCCCGCCCCCGGGACCCGGCCCCGCCCTCCCCCCGCCCCCGCCCCACCCCTTCCCCGGCCCTGCCCCGCCCCCGGGACTCCGGCCCCGCCCCCGAGACCCGGCCCCGCCCCCGGGACCCGGCCCCGCCCCCCTTCCCCGACCCCGCCCCGCGCAATTCCGCCGGCGGCCGGCAGGGGGCGGCGGCGCCCGGCACGCGCTCACCTGGCCTGGGCGGCGGCGGCGGGGCCCTCGGGCCTCGAGGACGGCCAGGCGGCCAGGGCGGGGGGCTGCAGCAGGCCGGGGGGCGGCGGGGGGTCCCCCAGGCTGTACTCTGGGAAGAGGGGCCCGCGTGAGCAGCGTCCTCACTCCCGCGCGCCAGGCTGGGGCGGCCGGGCGACATGCCCCCCGTGGTGCGGGGCGACCCCCCCTATGGTGCGGGGCGCCCCCGGGGCGCGGGCGTACCTGGCGGGCCCGCGGGGAGGAACGGGAAGCCCCCCAGCGGGGGTCCGGGCGCGGGGGCGGCGCCGGGGCTCTGCAGGCTGCTGTAGAGGCTTCTCTGCGGGGGGAACGCGGAGGGGAAACTGAGGCTCGCGCCCTCCCCCCCCTCCGCCCCCCGCCCGGGCTCCCCGCACTCACCGAGGGGCCCAGCGGCCCAGGCCTGCGCTCCGCCGCCAGGAACAGGGGCGGCGGCGTCTTGCCGCCCAGGTGGCTGGATGGGAAAAGAGGGTGCCCCAGGCCTGGGGGTCCCCGGGCCGCCGTCACCCCTCACGGGGCCGGGGTGACCCTCCCCGGCCCGACCCAGCGCCCGGCCGACCCCGACCCCATCCCCGGCCGACCCCGACCCCAGCCGACCCCGCCCCCGGCCCGACCCCATCCCCGGCCGACCCTGACCCCGCCCCCAGCCCGGCCCCGCGCCCGGCCCGACCCCATCCCCGGCCCACCCCGACCCCATCCCCGGCCCACCCCGACCCCATCCCCGGCCCACCCCGACCCCGACCCCAGCCGACCCCGACCCCGGCCCGACCCCATCCCCGGCCGACCCCATCCCCGGCCGACCCCGACCCCGGCCCGACCCCATCCCCGGCCGACCCCGACCCAGCCGACCCCGACCCCGGCCCGACCCGGACCCCATCCCCGGCCGACCCCGACCCCGCCCCCAGCCGACCCCGACCCCGGCCCCAGCCGACCCCGACCCCGGCCCGACCCCATCCCCGGCCGACCCCGACCCCAGCCGACCCCGACCCCGGCCCGACCCGGACCCCATCCCCGGCCGACCCCGACCCCGCCCCCAGCCCGGCCCCGCGCCCGGCTCGACCCCATCCCCGGCCCACCCCGACCCCATCCCCGGCCCACCCCGACCCCGACCCCAGCCGACCCCGACCCCATCCCCGGCCCACCCCGACCCCGACCCCAGCCGACCCCGACCCCGGCCCCAGCCCGGCCCCGCGCCCGGCCCGACCCCGCGCCCCCGGCTCACCTGGGGGCCCCGCTCTGGGGGCTGCGGGTCGGAAGGGCGACGGGCGGCCGTGGGCCGGCAGCGCCTCCCCGAGCCCGCCGGGATCGCAGCCCGGAGGGGGCAGCGCCCCGAACACCGCGTCGGGGCCGGGCATCGCGGGGGCCGCCGGCTGCGGGCAGAGAGGGAGGTGGGGGCCGGGTCAACCTGGACGGGAAATCGGGGCGCCAGGGCCAGCGCCCCACCTCCGGGAGCCTCTGGGACCCACGAGCTCCCCTCAGCCTGGGGGTTCGCGTCGGAGGCTGGGGTTCGCGTTGGAGGCTGGGGGTTCGCGTCGGAGGCTGGGGTTCGTGTTAGGCTGGGGTTCGTGTCAGGCTGGGGGTTCGCGTCGGAGGCTGGGGGTTCGCGTCGGAGGCTGGGGTTCGTGTCAGGCTGGGGGTTCGCGTCGGAGGCTGGGGTTCGTGTTAGGCTGGGGTTCGTGTCAGGCTGGGGTTCGTGTCAGGCTGGGGTTCGCGTCAGGCTGGGGTTCGCGTTGGAGGCTGGGGGTTCGTGTTAGGCTGGGGGTTCGCGTCGGAGGCTGGGGTTCGTGTCAGGCTGGGGTTCGTGTCAGGCTGGGGTTCGTGTCAGGCTGGGGCCTCTTGCCTGGCGTGTGGGGTTCTGGGCTGCCCAGGGGTCTTGATGGACTGGACATGTGGGAGTGAGCGGCCGGTGACCGGCCGGTCCTTCGAAGCCACCGCTGTCAGGTCCTGGCCTGAGGTCTCAGCCCGGGTGTGAGTGGGGGGGGGAGACGGACACACACACACACACACACACACACACTTACGTAGAGCCGGGGCCGGGGCAAGGCCGGGTCCCCTCCATCCCCGGCCGGCCTGGGCAGCTTCTCCCCTGCCCCCTCAGGCCCTTCATCAGGCCCCAGCTCTGGGCCCTCCAGGCCCCTCCGCTTCAATGTCTGTGAGGAAAAGAAACGGCAGGATGGATCCGGAAACCCTGGCCAGGGAGCGTGTAGGTTCCACGTGTGCGCGCGCGAGGCCGGGCCGCAGAGGGCGGGAGCCCACCCAGCCACCACGCCTGCAGGACAGAGGAGGCGGCCCCGGCCTGCGGTGCCTGCGGCCTTTGGTCCCACCCTCAGTGACCGCATCTGCCTGTGGCTGAGGTGTCTCTGTGGGATGGAACGCGGGTCTCCCCCCACCCCCCCAGTGCGGGGATTTCTCAGTACTCTGGCCTATGGACACCGCCCGTAAGGATGGACACGCCCAAGAAGGACACGCCCCTGGCTATGGACACGCCCCCTCAGGAAGACACGCCCACCGGCAGCATGCCCCTGGCTATGGTCACGCCCCTCTGGAAGACACGCCCACCGGCGGACACGCCCCTGCAGGTAGACTCTTCCCTGTAAATGGACAGGCCGGCATGCAGACACACCCCCTTCTATTGACACACCCCTTCAGGAAGACACGCCCCTGTAGGTGAACACACCCCTTAGGGAAGACACGCCCCTCTTAGGAACCCGGTCCTACGAAGGCACGCCCACATGCAGGCTAGTCCCTATCCAATAGCACACCCCCTTCAGGCAGCCACGCCCCCAGGCAGCCACGCCCCGCGGGTGGGCACGCCCCTTTCCAGGACACGCCCCCAGGCAGAGGCTCGGGATGGGCTCCGGCCGGGCCCGGCCCCGGCCCTGGCCCGCGCGCACCTGCAGGATGTCGGCGTTGGTGCGGCTCTCGTGCGGCTCGCTGTACTCGGTGTAGCGCAGCAGCACGCGGTCCATGTCGGAGCTGGCGTACTGGAAGAGGCGGTGCGCGCTGTTGAAGATGATGAGCGCGATCTCGCAGTCGCACAGCACGCTCAGTTCGTAGGCCTTCTTCATCAGCCCGAACTTCCGCTTCGTGAAGGTCACCTGGGCCGGGGAAGGACGCGGCTAAGGGGGACTGGGGCGCCCGCAGCCTCCCCTCGCCGCCCAGGCTGCCTCCGGCAAACTCCTACTCCAGCCTCAAAACCCAGCGCGGACACCCGGGCCCTGGGGGCACGCACCCTCCCTCTCCCTGGGCTCGCCAGTTCCTGCCCCGGCCTGGGCCGCGGTGTCGGGCCAGAGTTTCAGCTCTGTAGCCGGGGCCGTCAGGGAAATAAATGAGCACCATGAAAAGGGGCTAAGGCTCCATCTCAAACCCTGGATGAGGATGATAGGTCTTCCCCCGCAACACGGCCAGGCCTTGTCCCCTCTAGCCCCCCCAGGAGCCCCCCAACTCCCCACCAGGGCTCACCTGCCGGTTCCTTTGGTCCAGAATTCGCGAAATCTGGATTTTCTTCCTCCCCATGGTCCCTGGCTGAGCTCAGAGGCCGAGATCTGGGGGGGGGGGGACGAGAGGGTGGACAGGCCATGGGGAGAGGCACCCCGCCTTCCTGCTGGACACTACCTGATGCAACTGGGCTCTAGGGGGAAGGTTGTGAGGGACTGGCAGGCTGGCAGGCTGGCCCTGGCCTCCACCCATCCCAGAGGCGGCCCGGGAGGCTCGCTGGACTGTCCAAGCCGGCGGCTGCTGTCCCAGAAAGCCCAGGAGCCTTTTTTTATGTTTTGCCAGGCCTGGGGCTTGAACTCAGGGCCTGGGACCCGTCCCTGAGCCTCTCTGTGCTCAAGGCTGGCGCTCTACCCCTTGAGCCATGGCACCACATCCAGCTTCTTCTGAGTAGTGTGCTGGAGATCAGTCTTACAGACATTCCTGACCAGGCTGGTTTTGAACCTCGATCCACAGATCTCAGCCTCCCAAGTGGCTGGGATGACAGAGTGAAGCCAGACTTGAGCAGACAAAGCTAAGGGAGGGTGCCCAGACCCTGAGTGGAAACCCTAGAAACAACCCGCACACATGCACACGCACATGCACGCGCGCGCACACACACACAGTAAATTTTTTAAAAAATGAGCTGGGAAGGTGGCTCAGTGGTAGAGTGCTCCCCCAGCATGCATGAGGCCCTGGGTTCGATTCCTCAGCACCACATAAGCAGAAAAAGCCAGAAGTGGCACTGTGGCTCAAGTGGTAGAGCGCTAGCCTTGAGCTGAAGAGCTGAGGGACAGCGCCCAGGCCCTGAATTCAAGACCCACAACTGACCAAAAGAAAAAAGTGCCCTCAGCAGCCTCTAGTGTCCCAAGGGCACTCCATGGTCCCCCGTGACCCCCCACAGCTCCCCACGGCCCCCGCGGCCCTCTGTGCGCCTGGCCGCACTCCAGGCTCTCTGAGCTGCACAGAGGCCCTGGCCCAGCCACCCGACTCCGCTCCACTTGCTATATTTAACCACGGGGCTAATTCTGACCCCAGCAGGAATCGGCAGGTTCCCATGGTGGGGCCGTGGGGCCCCTCCCAGAGGCTCCCAAGCTGGCGCCAGAAATGTCCCACCACCACACGGGGTCCTGAGTGGGTTGGGCTGGGGCCTGAGCCACTCAGGCTGGGCAGAGCTGGCTCTAGAGTGCATGGCAGGGGGGTGGGAATTGCAGGGTGGGGCACCCAAAGAGCTAAGTGACACCAGGACACAGGGAATTCAGGAGCAGGCTGCAATGTGTGCAAAGGTCCTGAGGCACCAGGGTGAGCCAGGGAAAGGCCAGGAGCCCAGGGCCGCAAGAGCAGCCCCGGTGCTATGGGCTTCACTCTGGGAGCCAATGAAAACTGGGGCTGGCGCTGACTGATTGATTGACTGATGGAATTGGAGCCAATGAAAACTGGGGCTGGCGCTGACTGATTGATTGACTGATGGAATTGGAGCCAATGAAAACTGGGGCTGGCGCTGACTGATTGATTGACTGATGGAATTGGAGCCAATGAAAACTGGGGCTGGCGCTGACTGATTGATTGACTGATGGAATTGGAGCCAATGAAAACTGGGGCTGGCGCTGACTGATTGACTGATGCAATTGGAGCCAATGAAAACTGGGGCTGGCGCTGACTGATTGATTGACTGATGGAATTGGAGCCAATGAAAACTGGGGCTGGCGCTGACTGATTGACTGATGCAATTGGAGGCTTTTAGTGGTCTGGTCGTGGGGCTTGAACTCTGGGCCTGGGCGCTGCCCCTCAGCTCTTCAGCTCAAGGCGAGTGCTCTACATCTCGAGCCACAGCACCACTTCTAGTTTTCTGGTGGTTTATTGGAGATAAGAGTCTCATGGACTTTCCTGCCTGGCTGGCTTTGAATCGCAATCCTCAGACCTCAGCCCCCTGAGCAGCTGGGATGCCAGGCGTGAGCCACAGCACCTGGCAGGTGGTGATTCCTGATGACCACAGGAGCCTGGAAGCCACCCTGGACCCGGGCCCAAGAAACAGCTGCCCAACCAGGGTCTTCCGCGCTGTCTCTGATCTGGCGTAAACCAGCGCCGATCCCCCACCTTCCCTCCAATGAACAGCTCTGCCCAGAAGCCGCTGGACTCCCGCTTCACCTGGCCAGCTCTCCTGGCTGCTTCAACACCCAACCCTCAGAGCCCATTTCTCCAGCATGGGCTGGGGTGCAGTCTGCCGGACCCCCGGGGCCCGGGCCGGGCCCAGCCAGCCAGCCTTGTCCCCCACACCCTTGAGAGATGTGTTTCCCTCAACAACTTCCCCCATGACTGCACGGGCCCAGAAATACACCGCATGCAAATGCGGCCCCGAGCGGCAGCGGCGGCGCCAGGCCCCAGGTGCGGGGCCGCAGGCAGAGGGGCGCCATGCAAATCCCGATGCCGGGGTGATCGGAACTGCGTGGGGGGGCATGCGCGAGGGGGCCAGACGTCTCCCCACACACAGCCCCTGCCCCCCAGATCCCAAGGGGGGCCGCACCTGGGGCACAGGGGGAGGAGGGATGGGCGGAATCCGGGGTGCATGGACTATCTCAGCCTCCTGATTGGCTGGGATGACAGGTACCTGGCTCTAACCCCTTCATGTCTCCATACATCCCACTGCACAAGCACCAAGCCGGGCGGGCCTCCAGGGTACGCTGATGACCCCCGACCCCAGGAGGGCAAAGAAGACACGGAGACCTCTCATGAACCAGCCACCCACCAGAGCAGCGGCTCACACCTGCAGTCCAGGCTACCCGGCAGGCAGGAGATCTGCTTGGTCTGAGATGTATTCGGCCAGACCTCATCTCAAATAAAAATCCAGGCATGATGGCTCCCATCTGTAATCCCAGCCGACCAGGAGGCAGACATTAGGGGATAGAAATTCAAGGCCGTCCTGGGTTAAAAAAAAATAGTAAGTTCGAGAGACTCCCATCCCAGTTCATGGCTGCTCATGACTGTCACCTGAAATACTCAAAGAGACCCAAGGAGTTCAGCCCGAGCTGGGCAAAACTGGGCTGGCACAGTGGCTTACATGGTAGAGCACCTGCCAGCAAGGGCAAGGTCCGGAGCTTCACTCCAGCGGCACCGTCAGACACAGAGGGGAGGGGGCAGAGGGAGAGAGAAAGTGAGCACAGGCCCAGGTGATTTCACAACTGCTTTGTTCAAACCTCAAAGCATTGGAAATCTCAAGGCTAATCCCACTCCTGAAGACACTAGAGCCAGGGGCTGGGAAGGTGGCTCAGTGGCCGAGCGCTTGCCTTGCATGCCTGAGGCCCTGGGTTCCATTCCTCAGCACCACATAAACAAAAAGAAAAAAAGCCGGAAGTGGCACTTTGGCTCAAGTGGTAGAGTGCTAGCCTTGAGCTGAAGAGCTGAGGGACAGCGCCCAGGCCCCGAGCTCAGGCCCCACGACCGGATCCAAAAAAAAAAGATACTAGAGCCAGGCACCCAGGCCCACACCCCTCATCCTAGGGACTCAGGAGGTTGAGATCAGACGATCTCAGTTCGAAGCCAGCCTGCACAGAAAAGGCAAGGAGACTCTTATCTCCACCTCACCACTCAAAACCTGGAAGTGGCGCTGTGGCTCAAGCAGTAGAGCGCCAGCCTTGAGCTGAAGAGCTGAGGGGCAGCGCCCAGGCCCCGAGTTCAGGCCCCACCACCGACAACAATAGCAAGAAAAAGGAGGAAAGAAAACAAAGCAGAGCGGAGCGCCAGTCTCAGCTGACGGCAGAGCCTGGCAATCAGCAAGGGCAAAGCCCCGCGCTCCAGCGCGAGCACCACCAAAAACCCCCAGCGCCTACCACCCTGGCGTGCACCTGGCCGCCTGGTGGAGGGGCCGTCGGGGACGGTGTCCAGCGGGGAAGCCCCGGGGAGCCGGGATGGCCCTGTGCCCGCTCGGGCACACAGGTGTGTCCTGTTTGTGCAAATGGCTTTGTCATCGTCGGGTGCCGTGCGGGCTGCTCTGGCTGCGATCTGCCCTCAACCACAGATCCCCTGGGTCTGGCTGGGCGCAGGCGTGAGCCCTCGCCCAGCACGCGTGACACCCCGTGACCCGGACCCAGCGCTGAAAGAAACACTTTTGTTGTTGTTGGTGGTGGTGGGGCTTGAACTCAGGGCCTGGGTGCTGTCTCTGAGCGTCTCACTCAGGGCTTGGCGCTCTACCATTTGCACCACAGCACCACTTCTGGTTTTCTGGTGGTTCATTGGAGATCAGAGTCTGGGCTGGCTTCGAACCTCGGTAGCTGGGGTGACTGTTTCTGGGTTGTTGGGTGGTGAGGATTTGAATCTGGGCCTTACCTGTCCTGAGTCACACCTCCAGGCCTGCTGTGGGTGTTTTTTAGGGGGCGAGAGGGGTTCTGGGGTCTTGCTTCCTGCCTGGACCTGTGTTCCTACTTTGCTCCGTCTGTTTTAGCTCCCTGCCGGAGCTGGGGTGAGAGACGCACCCCCTCACCCGGCTTCCTCAGTCTCCCTGACTTTTCTGGCTGGGGTTCACCAAACCACCGGCCTCCCGAGGAGCCTAAAGTGACAGGCAGGTGGCACGCATGCTGGTGTTACACACACGTGTGTGTGCATGCGCACAGGCACGTGCACACACACACACACACAGAGCTGCCCTGGGACTGCAGCGGCCGTGCTGGAGGGGACAGGGCGCTGGCCGGAGTCCTGACAGATGCAGGGGAGGCGGGGGCGGGATGCGGTGTGCAGTGGGCCTGTGCTGACTCAGGGGTGCCGGGCGCCCTAGGGAGGGGGAGGCCAGCCCCAGGCCCGAGGCCTGCGAGGGGCAGGGAAGATCTAAGGACTGGACACAGCAAGGGGGCTCTGTACCGCGCTGGGGGCACCAAAGGCCCCTCAGGCGTGGAACTCGGGAGCCCCGCACCCCACGGAGCGCTGGCTCTGCGGTCACCAAGCCATCCACAGACGCCCACAGCGCCTCCCAGCCGCCCGCGGTGGCTCTGTAGTTGGGCAGGGGTCGGGAAGCCTCCACCGGGGAAGCAGGTGGGCCGGCCTCCACCGGGCCCCCAGCCCTGGGCCTCCACCGGGCCTC